AGGCTCTCGGCTCCAAGTACTAGTAGGACTGACGTGATTCGAAACAATTCGATCGATTCATACTACCGTTCGAGTCGCAGCGATACAAAGAAGAAGGTAAAAAAAACATACATAAAATCGCAAGTTCGATGTCACGGTCGACTCTCTCAGACCTGTCCCGGGAATGTAATTAAAATAAAAAATCCTTTCTGGTCCATTTCAATTCAGCTACATCAATCAGCCCAACCTTCAAACAAGGTTTTCCCTTGAGTGATAGACAGGTGCCGGGAGTTTGGGCTCGGAAAATTCAATATATGGAGGTAATCGTGTATCGGTTGATGAGAAGGTTTCATGTCGTGACAATGGGTAGGATGCGGCTTTCTCGTTGTAGACAGTTACGATCGGCTCAGGAGTCTGAATCGGTTGGAGCATTATAGTTTCCGAGGTTCCTTGATCTGTACCGTTTACTGGCGCAATGAGGTCACCGCAACCTTAACTCGTCTGCGTCTTGAGAAGCCACTGGGTAAAGATGGTCCAATACCATTTCAAACAGGTCCAATACCGTTTCAAACAGGCCCAACACACCTGGAGGCCTCTCCAGCATCCTACCACGATTGCTACAAGAATTCGCAGCAATCCTACTACTAGTTTTAGCATGTGTGGCAAAAAAATAATAGCGACAACTGCTAGGGACCAGAAAAGATAAGTAGTGGCAAGAATCCAAGAATAAATCTTCATCTAATGGAATTCAGGCGTTCGTATGATGAGGTAGCTGTTCAGAGAATACATACCCTGATTTGTGGGCGTGTCCCGAAGTAAGAGGATTGGCATACTAGTAGTTAGAGATACTTTGAAGGTGGCCGCCACTGGTGATAAGCCTGCGTGCAAAGGTAGTTTCGGGTAATAAGTTGGGGGCGGGCATATGGTTGTGGCCTGATGCTTATTAACAGTGTTAATAGTAAATGTAAAATAAAATATAAATCACTTAGCTTCAGTCCGGTGGTGTAATGCGGTATAGCAAATCATCTCAATAAATCCCAGGCTGTTGTTGTTGTAACCCGGGCAAGCCTTTTGGAAATAGCGACGCGAGCAACTAGATATCGATATTCTCCTCAGAATGCGTCTGCACGCGCAGAGACAAACGCTTACTGATTCATCGGAGATTTAGACATGTCCTCGATATTACTAAATGCGAATAGGATATACGAGAATATGATTGATCAATGACTGAGCCGTTAATAGGACTCGGAATCGGGCGCTTTCTAGCATGAGCTTCTGAAGACCAAAAACCAAACAAAAACGAGCGAAAAGATCTCTCAGACAGGGAATTGAACCCCGGACTTGCGCAACTTAGAGTTTAAGTTTTGATGACAGGCACAAATACTAACCAATATACTACCTAAGATGGTAGAGGGATGAAGAGAGGCAGGATGTAGGGAAGCATTCATGTGAATGAAATAAGAAAGACTTTCAATGAACAAACTCGAAGGCTGCCAGTGTCTAACGACATTCATATGCGGCGTTCATTTATCGTCGTCGGCTACGAACGTGAAGATGACCAGACATCTGGAGTTAAATGAATGCTTGGACCGTAAATAGTACTTAATCGAAAAGAGAGAGGTTTGGGAAATTATTTGCGTGATGGTTCTTATTTCAGATGAATTAGTGGACTATAAAAATCTCCAAATTACAGGGAATTCTCTCGACAAACATAGATCATCATAGCAAAATAAAGAAGGAATAATGAAAGCTCAAAAAAAAAAAAAGCTCTCCGGCCGGGAATTGAACCCGGGTCTCGCGCGATCTAGAGTGAAGCTCATGACAGGCGCGAATACTAACCACTATACTACCGAAGAGTTGTTGCTATAACAATGTATCCGGTCGGTGCCCCGGACATTGCTGGTTGGGTTTGACCTACACTTAGTGTTATCAAAAGGATTGTATCCTCCCCCGAATGCCGAAAAATTCTCGCGCGCGCAACAGAAACGAGTTCACCAAAAATAATTCGATAATTTTTTTTTAAAAATACCTGAAAATCGAAAAAAATCAAAAGAAGAATGTTATTGCGGTTTCGGAGGCAGATACCTCTAGGGGGCTCCTTCCACTCGAGGCTCGAAGAGAATGGGAAATGCAATATTGGCGCCTTACGTAAAGAATCTCACGCCTCCTTCGGATGGATCTCACGACTCGAAAAATGCCTATCGTACGCTGACAGCTCCTAGATGAAGGCTAAGTGTATAATAAATCAATAAATTACAATTTAAGTTATTTTTCAGGCAATATTTGAAAGAAACTGGCTAAGACTGACTCATAAGTCCCTGGAGGAGGACAGGATGACCCTAAAACCCCGAGCGCCTATTATATAAGACGTTTCCACGCTTCGAGAATTTCACCGGACCAAAGCTTATGAATACAAGTTACATCATTCTACAGTCTTATTAAGTATCTATGTGTCATGAAAAAGGACAATAAATATCAGGAAAATTCCAAATATTTATGGAAAATATTGATGCATGGGTTAAATGAAGTCTCAATCACCAAAGTTTCAATTGGAAGATGTAGGGAGTCATAACTGCGAACATAATATTGTTAAACTAGAATAATAAAGACTATATAAGAATCATTACTGAGTAGCATACTCTGGAGCTGCTAAATCATAACCCTAACTCCTAACCTGGAGGCTTGCGCTGCCCCCAGACCCCGATGAATATATACTCCCTGACCTAACCCTAACACTCTAACCCTAACCTGGGGGCATATACCACCCCAGACCCCGGCAGTATTTTTTTTCAGCAAAAAAATAAATAACATGTTGTTAAGCTATTTGAGGAAAGAAAATAATATGCATCCCAGCGGTTCGAGCCCAGGTACTACCATAAACCTCTTATTAATTACTGCGTAGTAACCACTACGGCAGTAGCCAACTTGAGAGTTAGCTATTTATTCAATAGCACTAGATCCTGTTTCCGGCCCGGGAACGTGTTTCATAATAGGCGCTAGGGGGATTTAATGTCACCCGCTACATTCGGCTATAGACCTGGAATCCGAAATATTCAGAACGCTTCAATGCAAAAGTTACCTCCTATGAGTAATGGTTATTCTAACCATCTGGATAGTATTGCTGCGGTGGTGACGAGCAGGCATATGCAGGATTGCCTTACGTAAGAGAGTGGTGCTTTCCTTCCCACGGACCATGTTCTCCTCGAGCCTCGAGTGGAAGGAGCTCCGATATGTATCTGCATCTGAGACCGCGGTACCATTTTTCTTTTGATTTTTCCGATTTTCAGGTAAATTTAAATATTTTTTATCGAATTATTTTTGGTGAACCTGTTTCTATTGCGCGCGCGGGAATTTTTCGGCATTCGAGGGAGGATAGGATTGCTCCGTTTGATTCTTGGACAACAATTTATGGGCGAACAGAGTTTGGATGTTCTACGATGATTCTAGATTCATCGAGAATTTAGATGGGACGCGGACGGCTTTGATGAAAGAAAAAGAAGAACTTCTCAGATTTTCTATCTTCTATGCGATCGAGAAAAAAAGAAAGCGGAAGGAGATCAACGTTATAATTGAACGATGCGGATGGTGGCCGATACTCCGAGTTGTCATGTTGGGCTTTGCTTCCGCGTTGGTCCACAGACCTGAAACGCAGTCGCGTAGGAGGACGCAATGAGCACAAATGGCTTCAGTCGGTGCTTCTTCGACATCGGTTGGCTGCGCGATCTTTCGGGAGTAGTCAGGTGATCCAGAGACTAAAGTCATACTGAGATGACTGCCATCTGCTTTGCTTCCCATCCCCGGTTGAATGAACCCCTAACGTTGAGGATTTGGTGACTTTGGCGGTGCCATGGGATAACCATATGATAACCGTCAAAAAGGCTGCATTTAATCAGGAATACAACCATCTGACATACCGTATCATGTCGCCTTGTTATCCAATATGCTGAACTAAGAGCAAGTTGAAGTAAAAGCCCAACCTTCCACCGGAAATATCCGAACCGTGACAGTAACGTGCAACGCGACAATTTTTTGCTATTGTCTCCGACACCACCCAGCACTACCGAACTACCAACATCTCCCTTTTATCTGCATTCTGGAAATCATGTTAAAATATAAGCAGAAACGAGCAAATACTGATACTTCCGACGGGTATTTTAATCCCAATTCCCGGACCAGGCGTCGCGTCGAGAGTCCTGCTGAGGGGCCAATGCCAGTGGCCACATCAAACTCGAAATTATACCACAGGGACGGCAGTATTGTCCTCGTGACCGAAGAAATCGCGTTTAAAGTCCATTAAAGTGTACTGGCAAATCATTCCGAATCTTTCAACGACATGTTCGCTGTTGCGTCCCCTATCCAGGGTAGCGAGACATTTGAGGGTGTTTCAGTGGTCAGGGTGTCGGATAAAGCGGGAGATCTCGAAGAATTCTTGAGCATGATATACGGTTATAAGTGAGTTATCTGCTGATTCGATTTCTGATATTTCTAATAATCCTTACGTGGCTATAGGCTGTTGGATATCCTTTGTTACGGGAGTTTCGAGAGTGTCTTAAGGATAGCTGACAAATATATGGCCAACGAATTACGAGAAGAGTACTTGAAGCAGCTCGAACGACTTCTCCCAACGACATTAGAGCAATATGATACAGCTTGAGATCGACTTAACAGCGTGCACGCTCCTGACCAGGACACGCCTGCCAGTGCCAGCCAATTGATAGCAGTGGTGCATGAAGTTAATGCAGTTTGGCTTCCCTCAAGCTCTATACACACTCCTTGGTGAAGAAGAGGAATCGTACATAAAGGATCTTGGCCTTCCTCAAGATCTGCTACTGAAGTTCTATTGCACCCGATGTTTAATCGGCATGGAAATTCCTCGACACATCAATAAGTTACTCACGGAAGGAAGGTCTAAGCCATGCTGCAGAGGTCTTTGGAAGCATGTTTATCAGACTGCCTGTGTTGTTCAAATGGAGCACGGCACGCCGGTCAAATCTCCTCTAGATTTTGTACAACATTTTATCCGTTTTCCAGACTCTATTGCGAAGGATCATCTCTGTAAAGTTTGCCTTGAACATTTCGTCACGGAGAATAAACGTTTTCGAGAGGAGGTTTGGTCTCGACTTCCCGAGATATTTGGTTTGGCATCCTCGTGGGAGGAGTCAGAGAAGGCACGATCTTGATGAAGGTAAAAGCTCTATCCAATAATATTTCGACTTAATAATCCTAACGTTTCCTCAAGCACGCGTATATCATCATCGACTCTGACTTATCTTATCTCGCTAGCCAGCGCTGTGCTTCGCAGAATATTTCATGTATTTCTGTGTCTTCCTTTATGACGATCATAAAGCTCAGCATTTAATCACAGACAGGAAAGTATATAAAGTACCTTATATTCTCTGGACTTATTCGCGGACCATCTTCACGTTCCTATTTTGTCTTGAACTTCAGCTACGTCCACTTTCAAAATCCTTCCAGCTATCGAACCCATTTAAGAAGACGCAAACGAGCTTTGAGATTTGCTTGCACAGTTGAGATGAATACTGTTGATGATAATGTCATTACTAAAACTGACTCCTATAGCCATACAACACTTCCAATTAGATAACGCATTCCTCCGGTCCCAGCGAGGCAAATAAGGTCCTCCGCGGTCAATGGGGCTCCTTATACTACCAAAATTTTCATCATGGCATCTATTAGAACACATGTATCTTCATGATTAATATCGTGACTGAAGGGTGGACTCACCAGGAAAACAGAACACCCCTATTCTCAAAGCGGGTATATAAACAAAAGTTCCTATTAGAAATCTGGAGAGGAGCGATGGATCTCGAGAGCTGATGCAAAGAAAATAAGCCTTTGCTTCTCATCAAACACCGGACTGCCTTAATCAGAATTATGACACCGGATATCTTTACGCAATTCGACAGGATGAAGATTTGCCAGAAAGCCTCGGTAATCCAGAACCTGAGCAAGGAAGTTAAGGCCAGATAATTGCCAAGGACTCAGTAACGAACGTTTTGCAATACTATTAGCCTCGAGTTAGACATCCTGATTACATTCTAAACTTCTGACTCACATTCTTGATCGAAGGTATCGATACCGGGGGTGTGACGGTGGTCCGGGAAGCTACTTGACCGAAATCCACTGTTTCATTCTACTTCCATTATATTATATCTACACTGTCCCATATTTCCATGTATATAATCATTTGAATGACAATGTTGAGGATTGATGGGTCTAAAACAGATTATCAGAGTTTCCCTACACTAGTTATTCAAGCGCGCACAGGAACCCCGTCTGCCCGAAACGCATATTAAGCTCGCATTCAGTGTGTTTCCATGCCGAGTGTGCTGGTGGCTCAACAAAAGCGGTTCCGGAAGGAACGTACTTCCATGGACTAAACTA